AGGGAGGCCACCCTCTCATTCAACGGGGTGAACCCCAACACACAGGCACCAAAAGGGGGGGCAATAAGTATGCCTACTCCTACTCGACGCCTCTCACCAGGGGCAACCCCAGAGTGGACGAGTGTCCAACCGCTCTGAAGGAAACTGGTTCCAGAGCCAGAGTCATGCGTAGAGGTGAGTCTGACTCTTTCTAGCCGGAACCTCTCAACCTCACACACCAGCTCAGGCTCCTTCCCCACCAGTGAGGTGACATTTCACGTCTCAATAGCCAGCTTCTGTAGCCGAGGATCAGACTGCCAGGGTCCCCGCCCTTGGCCGCCACCCATCCCACATTGCACCTGACCTCTTTGGCCCCTCCCACAGGTGGTGAGCCCATGGGAAGGGGGACACATGTCTCCTCTTCGGGCTGTGCCCGACCGAGCTCCATGGGTAAAAGCCTGGCCACCAGGCGCTTGCCCACGTGCCCCACCTCCAGGCCTGGCTCCAGAGTGGGGCCCCGGTGACCCACGTCCGGGCGAGGGAACATCAAGTCCATTTCTTTTTCTCAACATAGGGGCGTTTGGGCTGCACTTTGTACAGAATCTTATCCCATCTGTGAAACATGGTGGTGGTAGTATCGTGGTTTGGGCCTGTTTTGCTGCATCTGGGCCAGGACGTCTCGCCATCATTGATGGAACAATGAATTCTGAATTACATCAGAGAATTCTAAAGGAAAATGTCAGAACATCTGTCCATGAACTGAATCTCAAGAGAAGGTGGGTCATGCAGCAACACAATGATCCTCAGAACACAAGTGGTTCTACCAAAGAATGTTCAAGAAGAACTAAGTTCATGTTTTGGAATGGTCAAGTCAAAGTCCTGACCTTAATCCAATCCAGATGTTGTGGAAGGACCTGAAGCAGCTGTTAATGTGAGGAAACCACCAACATCCAGTGATGAAGCTGTTCTGTACAGAGGAGTGGACTACAGTTCCACCAAGGTGAGCAGGACTGATTAACAGATACCAGAAATGTTTAGTTGTAGATATTGATGGATTTGGGGGGGGGGGGGGGGTCACAGCAGGTACTGAAAGCAAAGGTTCACATACTTTTACCATCAGATATGCAATATTGGATCATTTTTCTCAGTAAATAAATTATCTTGATCTACTCTTAGGGCTTGTGTGAAAATCTGATGATGTTTTAGGTCATATTTATGTAGAAATATAGAAAATTATAAAGAGTTCACAAACTTTCAAGCACCACTTTATGGACCATGGATTTGACTTAGCTCTTAGTTATCCATGGTCCGTACAAATTGATGTTTGGCTGTCTTCTACCTCCCTCACTGTGAACCACAGAACCTCCTGCAGGTTTCTGATGAGCAGGTAGAAAACACCTGATTACAGGACACACTGAAAAGTTCATGCCTCTGCAGTCAGGAGTTTTAATCTTTCTAGGAGTAACATTATTTTTGTTTGTTAGAGAATTTTGGACAAAAGTTATGGATGTTTTTATTAATATGGCTGAGAATCTTATCTCTGCCAATGAATCATATGTTTGGGTTAGCAGAGAGAGCTGGATGGGGAGCTGTGAGGCTGCAGCTGGCTCCAAGGACATCTCCGGCCTCTGTGAACTCGGCTGAACTAATAAGGGTATAGAAGCAAGCTGAGGGGGCGGCTCGGGGCAGATTCTCGTGACTGGTCTTTCTTCATGTGTACTTTATGTATATTTATGTAAGCTGTCCTGAAAATCTGACCTTGCAAGTACAATCCTGGTTAAAAACTTGTGCTGTCAAATGCAGTTCTTTTTGAGTAAGTAAGATAAGCGAGAACATTTTTCTCCACCATTGTCAGAGTTTCATTTGTTTATAATTCTGCTGGAGCAAAACTCAGAAGCAATGACTGATTTTCATTTCATCACTTGACTTTTAGTCTTTTTCTACATTTTCATTACTTTCTCAGTTTCAAGTGGTTTCTGTGACCTTTGTGGGAACAAACTAATAATCAGGTCTCTCTTGTAAATGAGTCCTCGAGGCTCAATGGGATTACCTGTCTAAATAAAGGTTGAATGAAAAAAAAAACTGATCTGTCTGTACAACCACTCCAGGAGTCTCAGGTCAGATCTTCACCACTGATTCTCTGAACACATTAGAAAGAACAGAACCTCTTCTTCACCTCTCATAGGAACCTGAGAGTTCTGATTGTTGCTCAGTGCTTCCCGGATCTTCAGCAGTGGAACCTGTTGGTTCAATGATGGTTTTCTTTCAGTTTAGCGATCCACTAGCAGGGGGAATCACACACATACTTCGTCTTGTAAATGTTGCCCTCCACTCCTGCAGCTTCCTTCTGTTATAAATCCCCTGACACTCACCTCCACCCACTCCCCCTGCTGTTCCTCACCTTTCTTCTTTCTTGTGTTCTGCTCCATCCTCAACTTCTCTATCCCTGCAGCATCACTGTTCCACCTGTCTCCATTTCATTCACTCACACAGATTCTGACTGTCATTCATTTTCTCTCCAGAGCAGACCTCCACCTCCAGGACTCTCTTCCATGTACTCCCTATGCTGGTGAAGATTCTCAGTCATCCAGGACATGATGATTAAAAAAAAAACGTTCAATACAAAAACAACTGGACTTTATTTGTAACAGAAGACGTTTCGCTCCTCATCCGAGGAGCTTTCTCAATTCAAAGAGCAGTGAAGTGAGGGATTCAGGTTATAAAGCTGACTGAGATAAGACACATACACATATGTAGATTAGCAATTCACACCTAAACACCTTAACAGTAAGAGTCTTTTGTTACTCTAATTCACAGACGAGGCCCCTCTGTTCCCATCAGGTGTGAAAACCGGCTGGGAATCTGTTTTAAAGTTGCATTATACGTTTTAGAAAGTGAAAATCTGAGGCCTCCTCCTCTGTTAAGAGACAGCTTTTCTCTTTTTACATAAATTGCTTCCTTCACCCCCCTCTCAAACCATCTGTGTTCTCGGTCCAAAATGTGCATATTTTGGTCCTCAAAAGAGTGTCCCTTCTCTGTGAGGTGGAGGTGAACAGCTGAATCTTGTCCTGAGGAAGTAGCTCTCCTGTGTTGAGTCATGCGTCTGTGAAGAGGCTGTTTAGTTTCTCCAATGTAGAGGGCTGGACAGTCCTCACTGCACTGGACCGCATACACTACACCACTCTGTTTGTGTATGGGTGTTTTGTCTTTAGGGTGGACTAACCTCTGCCTGAGAGTCCTGTTGGGTTTGAAATGTACTGGGATGTTGTGCTTGTTGAAAATCCTTCTGAATTTATCTGATACTCCAGCAACATAAGGGATGACAATGTTTTTCCGTCTGTTGTTTTCCTTTTTCTGTTTATTGGTGTGTTTTGTAGATTTCCTTGCTGACTTGACAAAAGCCCAGTTTGGATATCCACATGTTTGGAGAGCTTCTTGGATGTGTTTCTGTTCCTTTTCCTTCCCTTTTGTCTTTGTGGGGACGCGTTCGGCCCAATGTTGTAAAGTTCTGATGACAGAGAGTTTGTGTTCCAGTGGATGGTGGGAGTCAAACAGAAGATACTGGTCTGTGTGGGTTGGTTTTCTGTAAACTTCAATGTTTAGACTGTCTTCTCTTTCCATCTGAATCAAACAGTCCAAAAAAGGCAGCTCGTTGTCGTTTGCATCTTCTCTGGTGAACTTGATGTTGTTATCGACCGAGTTAATGTGTCTGGTGAATGCTTCCATTTCCTTGGCTTGGATTTTGACCCAGGTGTCATCCATATAACGGAACCAATGGCTTGGCGTTGTTCCCTCAAACGAGTTTAGGGCTCTCTGTTCCACTTCCTCCATGTAGAGATTGGCAACAATGGGTGACACTGGAGATTTCATTTCAAACCCAACAGGACTCTCAGACAGAGGTTGGTCCACCCTAAAGACAAAATACCCATAAATAAACAGAGTGGTGTAGTGTATGCGGTCCAGTGCAGTGAGGACTGTCCAGACCTCTACATTGGAGAAACTAAACAGCCTCTTCACAGACGCATGGCTCAACACAGGAGAGCTACTTCCTTAGGACAAACTGCTGTTCATCTCCACCTCACAGAGAAGGGACACTCTTTTGAGGACCAAAATGTGCACATTTTGGAATAAGAACACAGATGGTTTGAGAGGGGGGTGAAGGAAGCAATTTATGTAAAAAGAGAAAAGCTGTCTCTTAACAGAGGAGGAGGCCTCAGATTTCCACTTTCTAAAACATATAATGCAACTTTAAGACAGATTCCCAGCCGGTTTTCACACCTGATGGGAACAGAGGGGCCTCGTCTGTGAATTAGAGGAACAAAAGACTCTTACTGTTAAGGTGTTTAGGTGTGAATTGCTAATCTACATATGTGTGTGTGTCTTATCTCAGCCAGTTTATAACCTGAATCCCTCACTTCACTGCTCTTTGAATTGAGAAAGCTCCTCGGATGAGGAGCGAAACGTCTTCTGTTACAAATAAAGTCCAGTTGTTTTTGTATTGAACTTTTTTTGAATTCATGTACTCCCTACTGTCTCTACAGTTTTCTGTGAACACCACAGTCCATGGACTCCTGCCTGACCCTGTCTGTTCACCTGTTCATCACAAAAACAAGAAGGGGCTCAGATATGATCCATGATGAACTCCCACACCCTCCTTGAACCCATTTGTCACTCCAGCTGCACATCTCACCACTGTCTGTCCTTGTAGATGACTTGCATTCCTTCCAGCACATCCTTCTCCACCACACTTGACCTCCTCATATAGAACTACAGAGTTTCTCACTGCTTTCTGTAGATCCACAAAAACACAATGTGGCTCTTTCTGACTGTCTCTGAACATCTCAATAAATGTCCAGTGTCCCCTCTCCCAGATGTTGTCATATGTAACAGGTCTAAGATCTGGACCAGGCACCTTTCCACTCTTTATAACAGTCCTCACTTCCTCCTTACAGATTCACCACCTTTCCTCCATCAGTTCTCTCTTTCATGTAATGACATTAATGAATTCTGGGTCGACTCACTCTTTCCGTCACAGGCCACGATCTTCACTTTGTCCACCTTCACCATGTCCGTCACCTCCCTGAACTCCACGTCGTTCAGGACAAATGTCCACACGTTATCACAAAACCTGTAGGTGTTCAGGGAGCCCTGCAGAAGAGAAAACCAGAAGTGGGTCGACACAGTGAGATACTGCCCCCTCTGACCCGGTTCAGCAGATATTAAGTTGGTGTCATTTAAGCTCTGGTTCTGTGCATGTTCATACAGAACAGGTCTGGATCAGACAACTGATGAAAGATCTCGTCATGCACAGAATTATTAGTGAGGCTGGAAAGCTGAGGAATCATTTTAGCAGAAAACAAATACAGTGCTGTCAGTTAAGGCTGTACGATATGTGCAATTTAAACATTTAATATTGTAATGACAATATTAGTTGTGATGAACAGAGATGCACCGATTCTGATTCTGTGGGCTGATACAGATTTTTGAATGGCTCTGACCTGCTGATACTGATTTCAGTGTTTTTCCTAGGTCGCTTGGCTTGGCAGGGTGCTCCACTCTCCTATGATTTTTGTTGACTTGGAAGGAGGCGGCGGTGTAGTGGAAGACGGAGTTGCGCACTATATTAGTGCCAGTTGTTCTTGACCCGGGGCGGGTGGGATGCGTGTAAGAGAAGCAGAGCACTACGTCTATAGCTTTGTAGCTAGCGCAGCTGTATTTTGTGCTGCTACCTTAGTGCTGCAGTGTTGACAGTTGTCGTGGGGTTGTGGGGGTGGAGGTGTTGTAGGTGAAGGACATTTCGGTAGGCAGGGTGCTTGGTTCTGTAGACAGGGCAGGGTGCCCTCCTTGGGTAGGTTTGGCAAAGGCCACTGAGAGTCTGTTCGATTGCAAAACATGAATGATGGTACCCAAATATAATGGTCTATGATTTAATGCAGCCCAAGCAGCCCATTGTGATATCCATATTGTGAAGATCACAACAAATCGATTTCAAAATGACGAAGAGCCACAAACAGTCGCAGGCTAAACTCACTCCAGTCAAATATACATTTCATAATCATATATAGAATGTGATGTTTAAGCTGCTAAATACAAACATTAGAACTGAGCTATACAAATCTCAACTAGTCAGACTGATCATTTAAAGCCAGTTTGCCTCCATCTGTCTAGCATGTGACCCACAAACTGTAAGAGCCCTAAACATCTGGGAAAATTCCAGGTAGACCAAGGTTCTACAATCTGTAACACTGGAAGGTAAAAGGATCCTGGTGGTTTAAGTCTTCCTAAGTTCTGTCAGGCCACTTTGAATCTTCTCTGCTTTAGGTTTCCTACGATCCCGATGAGCCTCTGCAGACAAACATATGAGCTAAGCTAAACTATAAACTAAACTTATGAGATAACAGCTCAGCTATTTAAAAGAGTTGCATCCTTCTCAAAGGCATTTTACAGTTTTAGATTTTTTTTAGTGTCTCCTAAAACCCTTTTTGGCCACCACGTTAGGGGTGTCAGAGGCAGCTGTGGTAGTTAGAGCAGTCACCCTCCAATGAGAGTCCACCAGCAGTCACATGTTGAAGTGTCCCTGGGCAAGACACTGAACCCCTCATTTCCTCTGATGTGTCCCATCAGTGTTTGAATGTGATCTAAAGCTCTGATTAGTCTCTACAGAAGCAGATTATCTTTGTAGAGATGTAGTAGAGTGCTGCACGAATGTGTGTGTGGAGGTAAAGAGGGCACAGATTGTTGTAAAGAGTTTTGAGGATTAGATAGAAAGGCTCTTTTTAAGTACAGTCAATGTTTTCCACAGCCTTCCTTGTCACACAAACACCTGTGAACGTATAAACTGCTACAATCTCCGCTCCCTGTACGGAAGTGTGGAGGCTGCGTGGGGGTGGGGATGTGGTAGGCGGTGCACTCGGTTCTGTTGACAGGGTGGGGCGCCTCCTTGAATAATGGTGTCCAACAAACTTATGTAGCTTAGAGTTGGAAAGTATGCATAAAAATAAGAAAGCAAATCATTGAAACATCATTTCTGTCAGTAAAATGTTAGTTGAGGTGTTTTAGTTTAATTCATTAAAATAAAACTTTTTCTAAGATTCCTGTGGGACAGAAATTGATAAGCTGATAAGACAGTTTAGAAAACAGATGATGTGCTCTGTGCTTAAAATGCTGACTCCTAATCCTGAAAGCAGGTGCTCACCTTGAAGTTGACTCTGTTGCGGACCCGATTGGCGAGCGCTGTATTGATGGCTTTATCAAACTGAAGGAGGACCTGAAGTGCCAGCTGAGGCGTGATCTGCTGAGTCTGGACACACAGAGTCAACATCACACAGGTGATTTCTCTGCTTCAAACCAAACTGTCTTAGTTGATCTTGAAATGACACCAGAGGCCATATTTAAAATTTTGAGCCATAAAGAAGTTGTTTTAAACAACAGGAGTGCCACAAGTTTTCTCAAAACAAATTCTTCTGCAAAAATTACTTTTAACTGCATCTTTTTTATTACTATAAAGATTAATTTTCACCTAAACTGTTGAAGTTGAACAAATAAATCATGCAGAGCTTTGCCGAGTAAAAAAGTGACTAGAACTGCTCAGCTTATCGGAGCATTCTCCTATTCACAGACGCTGGTGATTCTGTGCTCCTTCTCTTACTGGACCTCACATCTGCCTTTGATACAATCGACCACGAGATCCTCATTGCGAGGTTAGAGCAGTGGGTGGGCATCACTGGGTCAGCCCTCGAATGGTTTAGATCTTACCTCGCTGACAGGTCCTTTTGTGTCTCCATCAAAGATTTTAGTTCAGCCTTGGTAGCGCTTAAATGGGGGGTACCGCAAGGGTCCATCCTTGGTCCTCTTTTATATTCTTTATACCTGCTGCCACTAGGTGCTATTTTCAGGAACCATAACATACCTTTTCATTTCTACGCCGACGACTGCCAAATCTACTTCCCCCTCAGACTCAACGGTACTTGCTCTATTCAACCGTTACTGGACTGCCTGGCTGACATCAGAGATTGGATGGCTTTAAATTTCTTGAGTTTCAACGAGAAGAAATCTGAAGTTATGCTCTTTCCTTCCAATGACACAATCACCAACCACTGCATCGACCTATCCGTTCTGTCACCGTTAGTGAAACAAAGAGTCACTAATCTAGGAGTGATACTTGACCCTTCTCTGAAACTCAACAATCATGTAAATATGATTGTTAAATCCTGCTTTTTCCAGCTGAGGCGACTGTCTAAGCTGAAGCCCATATTGTCCAAAAATAACCTGGAGACAGTAATTCATGCATTCATTACATCCAGGCTCGACTATTGCAACTCACTCCTTTTTGGTATCAGTCAGACCTCCATAGCTAGACTCCAACTGGTCCAAAATGCAGCAGCCCGGTTTTTGACCAGCACAAGCAAAAGAGAGCACATTACACCTGTTTTGGCCTCCCTACACTGGCTTCCGGTTCACCTTCGAATCAAATTCAAAATACTCTTGTATGTCTATAAATCACTAAACAGCTCTGCCCCCTCCTATCTTACTGATCTGCTCCAGCCGTATGTCCCACCCCGTTCTCTCAGATCAGCAGACCAGTTGCTCCTAACAGTCCCAGGAACCCGTCTCAAGCGCAGAGGTGACAGGGCCTTCTCTGTAGCAGGCCCAAGACTTTGGAATGAGTTACCTCTGCTCGTTAGACAGGCCCCGCCCCCTCCCTCACAGTTTTTAAATCTTGCTTAAAAACACACTTCTATTCCCTGGCTGTCTGCACTGTGTGATCTGTGCTGAGTCTGTGTGCATCACACTGTGTTGGTCATGTTGCGGTTGTTGTCGTTATCCATTATTGTTTTTGTTGGTTTCTACTTTTTGGTGTCCTGTTACGTAATCTGTTGCTATGTGCTTGTTCTGTTTGTCCCTGTACAGCACTTTGGTGTGCTTTGTCACTGTTTAAAGTGCTTTATAAATAAATTGGTATGGTATGGAGAGGACAGAACATCTGAGACTGCACATGATCAGGTATGCTACATCAAACTGCAGGTCAAATCTCTTGAAAATGAAACTACACTAGCAAATAAAAGTGGAAAATGTCATTCTTAAAAAAGAAAATCTCCCTTCAGATGTACTCTATCTCACCCTTCATATATTTTCCAGAACACAATTTAATTTTAACTTAGTGACTGATTTGTTTTACAGTCAACCTCACTAAAAGTTTAAAGGCACATTACTGCTCATTCAGTGGAAAATAAATCCTCAACAACCAAACACTTGGTGTGTTTTTGTTCTATCAAAGAGATAAGAAGTGTGGATGGAAGATTACAGCTTTCAGAAAGCCTGGTCCTTATTAAAACCCATTTTTTAAAACATGTTTTGAACATTTATACCGTTTCCTGTTAATGACATGTAAACTTGGATTGTGACACTTCCTGCCGGCTACAGTGTATTAAAACTTTTGTGCTAATCCTTTTATGAGCATAAAAATGGGCTCTCCTTCAACCAAATCATATTTGTTTTAAAACTAGATAATTAACCACTCGTTTTTATTTTGCAACGCTGATACACAAAAATAAAATTGATTCAATGACTACAACCCACATACCCCAACCTCTACTTTGTTTCATTTAAATGAGCAGATTCATATTCCTTCCGAAAATTTTAAATGTTATACAGCACTTTAGTCAATGAACATTTTAAATATGTTATAGAAATAATATGACAAAAGTGAGACGCTGCAAACTGGACCCGGTCTATTTAAGTTGTAATCTGAACGGGGACTTTTTTAATTATTTCACAGGCACTGAGATGTGCTTAAATCGGTTAATTTGTGGAATAAAAGCATTTTCGTTGACTCACAGAATCTTTGGATAATTTTTATTTAAGTCTGATAGGAGCCTAACCACCGAGAACTAAGCAGAAGCTAACAGTGCTAAAGCTAACAGGGGCTAACAGTCCACAGAGTTACCAGAAGCTAACACTGTCAGGGAGCAACTAAGGACACCTCCGATCATAGTCACCTGAATGAGCTCGTCCAGACTCTCCTGAAGGCTGTTTCCCAAAGTGGTATTCCTGTACAGCTGATAGGCCATGACTCAAGCTAATTTCAGAGCAATAAACACAAACAAGCAGCAAACTGCGCTCCTCAAAGAACTATCAGCCAGAGCATGCGCGAACAAGCCTCCTTCTTCGCTTGTTAATTATTAGTGGGCAAATCAGCTATTTAGTATGTTTACTGCCACCAACTGGACTGGAGTTAAAACGAACGCTTGTCAAGACAATGTGGAGCTTGTCTGCTGTTAACACATGACAAGACCCCACGAGACAAGGGCAACAGGATGTAACAGCTGTCCATCCATACATTATCTTTACCCACATTTTTGATGTTGTCGGTATCAGTGCTTGAACCAGCCATATATATATATATATATATATATATATATATATATATATATATATAAGGAGAAGACCGATAAAACAAACTTAGTTTATGACAGTAACTGCTGGATGTCCAGACCCTAACGTCTTGGCTCTCAGTAACTCTGTGGCCTCCTGAGTAATATACCATACCATACCATACCAATTTATTTATATAGCACTTAAAACAGCAACAAGGCCAACCAAAGTGCTGTACAAAAGAACACAAACATGCACAGCAGACAGGAAAACATAAAATATAAATACAGATACAAATAGCAGCAGAAGCTAACTAAAATGGCCAACAGAGTAAAGAACAGACCGGGTCAAAACAAATCACACCGTGTTAAAGGCAAGCGAATAGAAGTGGGTCT